TTAGGTTGTAGACGCATTGCTAGCAGCATTGGCAGTTATCAAATGTAGGCATTACATAGGTATGGCTGGCCACAACTAAATGAGAGTATGAGCTGAGCACCATGTGTATTTATCCAGGCACAACCAAGAGCGAGGACATCTTATAGATGGAAGGCTACACTGAGAATGCAGTTTCAGTATTCCGGTAGCTTGCAAGTCTATTTAATCAGACACACGTGCGCGCACATCTACATTGATGCTGGTACGTAATTTATTTCTATATTCTCACGGTGAGGTTAAGTAGCACAAAACGGAGTAAAATTGTGAAAGCAAGTTGGAATCTGCAGTTGGTGGTTTCTCTCTTATTTTTGTTACGAAAGATCCAATCTGCAAGGAGTCAGACTGACTGCTGTGGCTGTCAGTACAACAAAGCGACCATGAATACAAGGGCACTCGCATGCAACTAAAATTTGGACAAATCTATTTCTTTCTTCTCACTGCATCATTTTTTACTCAGAGGTTGAATCTATTTTTAGACAAATCTGCATTGACTGTATAATTTTATTAAACACTTTTCGTTTAAATAAATTTATCTTAAAATATCAGTTTAAGAATTAAGAATTCATACTAGGTTTTTTGTTTTTTTTTTTTTTTGGGCGGGGTACCTCTTGAGTTTAGATTTGCCCTATTGATAGGCAGAAGAAAGTTTACCCTTTTTTGAACAATGAGGCCTCTTGAATCTGACAAAGACACCCCTTAACACTCTGACACATGAGATAAAATGACTAAAATGCCCTGACTTATCAATTAACCTATTGGAAAGTTGGAATTACCCATTATTAATATACCAAATTAACATATATGGGACACAGAATTCATATATATATATATAAAAGGGTAAAGTGCAATAAAACCCCTCAACCATACCCAAATGAGCACAAAACCCCTGAGTTTCTAAAGTAGCATAAAACCATCAAAACTATGTTGTTCAGCTGACGTGATGGATTATTTCTCATTGTGTCAAAAAAATAAATTAATTAATTAATTAATTATTCTCATTAAATGACCCAAAAGCCTTTATGAGAGTTAAAAGACTATAACAACCTTTTGGGTATGTTTGGATTGAGAGATTTGGAGGGATATTGAGAGAAAAGAAAAGAAAGGATAATGTAAATTGTGTTTGTGCTGGTTAAAATGAGAGAAAATAAATGATAGGGAGAGATAGGTCCTCCTTATCTCTCATTTTCTCTCTCCAAAAATGAGAAGATAGAAAGAGAATGGATAGTGTTTACGTAGTATTTTTATAATTATGAAACTGCCCTCAACAATTAAAAAGAGTAAATTATTATTCCACCCACATCTTATCTATTTTAAAAGATATGATAGTAATTTAATTATTCTATTTTCTCTTTTTTTCTTCCCTCTATCATATCCAAATAAGAATAGAAATTATTGTTATCATTTCTTTTCTCCCCTAACTAATATTATTCTTTCTTTTTATTTTATTTTCTTTTCTCTCCTAGTATCCAAAAGCACCCTTTGTCTATATATTATTGGCAAGCGAAGATTCAGGTGACGACGATGCAATGCTTGGTGATGAGAAACTGACGATCCGGAATGATGACGCGATTCCGGCGAATGCCACGTTGAAGCTGGTGGTTTGTTGTGTTGGTGGTGAGATGGGTTAGGACTTTTAAGGTGTGCGATTGGGAACTAATTGTGGTTGGCGGCTAGACACGATGATTCAGGCGAATGGTGTAAAGTTTGGTTGGGTTCTGATGGGAGTACTGGTTTAGTGTGGGAGATGATTGTGAGTCGTATGCAGCGGAATGTATTTTAATAAAGTATTAGATTTTGTAAAACAGATCTGTGTCGTTACCAACTTTACTTATTTTAGCAGTTAAACAATTAATCGCATGCAGTAAAATAAACCAAAGTATAAAGTTAGAGATGACATCAGGATTTTAGCAAGGAAACCACAGTTAATAAAATACGTCAATTGTTATGGGAAAAACCTTATGGACTTGTGCAGTCTAAAGTAAACCAATCCACTATATTTGAAACAAAGTATACCGAATTTTAACTTTGGCTCACACCCTATCGTTCTACCCAACACCAATCGCTAACGATTTTCTGATTTTGCGACTCCTCGTCCAACAGCAACTTGACCTCAGGCTTACACTTAATATTTCTAGAAGAGTAGCAGGTAGATCAGACAGCACTCCATGAATGTTCCAACCCTTCCAAAGTGTGACTGCGTTTACTTCTGTTCTTCAACTGTCTGAATGATATAGAACTAGATCTGTTTCGTCTGATCGATGTTAATACAACTGTATGATCACGATCAGGATTTAAACACCATAATTCTAAACTCACTATGTGTTTATGTTCTAGAAAGATGATAGAAAAATTAGCTCTGATTTTTTACAAAAATAATCTTCCTAAGGCTTTTAAGAATAATGAATTTGTAGATCAAAAGCCGTGAATAAACCAATATATATGATGTGGTTTATATAGAGTTTAGAATGACCTAATCCTTCTGAAAATAAGGTAAAATTAGTGCATAGGATTTAGTATTATTCTAGACCAACTGGGAAACAATTCAGGATAAGGAAACTGAAGTTGTATAGTGAACAGGACTTTTTGAACCTGTTCGATAAATCTTGAACCAGTTCAAGATAGACAGAATGTAAAATCTCGACCCTGCTGAAGTTGAACCTGTTTGATAAATCTTGAACCCGTTTAAGATGAACCTGTTCGATTATCCTCGAACCAGTTCAAGATTGACAGAATGTAAAAACTTGTTCCGAACAAAATCGAAAGTGTATAATGTGTCCAACCTCATTTAGAATCCTTCCTATGTGGTGTTCTTACCTTTTTCTTCAAAAATCTTCATTCGATTATCCTCGAACCAGTTCAAGATTGACAGAATGTAAAAACTTGTTCCGAACAAAATCGAAAGTGTATAATGTGTCCAACCTCGTTTAGAATCCTTCCTATGTGGTGTTCTTACCTTTTTCTTCAAAAATCTTCAAGTATGGTAAGTTTGAACTCCTTCCCAGTTCTGTAGTCCATGTCGAAGTAGAACAAATAATTTGAATTACAACTCAACTTGAACTTATTATGTCTACAATAATTGTCAAAAATAAATTAATATCTCACAATGATAGTATCAATAATTGGAAATTTTGTGCTGAAATTTTGTAGTGAAATGGGTCGGGTTCTATGTGCTTCACCAACGCATCGGTGAGCTTGACATTGTCTTCTTGGACCACCTCGGCGCAGGCCATCAAGCTGTGGACAAGTCGGACTCTGGACTCATACAAATCCAGAGCACCACCTGCAGCCGTGGCTCCATTGCGGCAACTCCAATTTTGGGAACCGGTGGTACAGGCGGCAGAATTCCCAACCCCAATCACAAGCAAATCAAATTGCAAAATTCTCAACCCCTTACCAAACCCAATCACAAGAACTTATTTGAAAACCCAATCGCAAGCAAACCCAATCACAAAACCCCAAGAATATTTTGTCACCGATCACCAAGCAAAATCCAATCGCAAGTAGACCCAATCATCGGATTGATTTTTACTGTCTCCATTAGAATCTGTCACCATGGCACTTGTATATATACACATGGTTGTGATAAAGGCTTAGATGGCGGTGTAGATCTTGGTGCAGAGAGATGTTGATGGAGATCTTGGTGTAGAGAGATGGTGGTGTTGGCAGTCCATGGTGGAGATTAGGGAAGAAGAAGAAATAATATATACATATGTATGTAATGTTGGTTTTGAAAAAAAATAAAATAATAATAAAATAAAGGTGATGCTTTGTGATAACGTTGCTGACGATTTCAACAGTTTGATATGCGATAAGGTGGTTATGCTGTAGTAGTCGTTGAGATTGCCAGCTGCCACATCATTTACTTGAATGAGTAAGTTTCAAAACGACGGGTTAAAAAAGTCTTTTAATTTTTTCGACATTCTCCGTCCTAAAACTTAGGGTGCGTTTGGATCTGTTTTGTTTTTGACAATTGGATATCAAAAACATAAAAACGGCCTTTGGTAATGTCATGCGTTCTAAGACATTCGAAAACAAAACACGTTTGGAAAGTTCATTTTGTTGTCAAAAATTCTGAATCAATAACAGGATACATGTTTGATAAAGACTGTTTTGTTTTTATTTTTAATAATTAAATATATATAAATACAATTATAAGTTTATATGTAATAGTCTATTTTTTTTTTTATGATTTGAGATAATTTATTAAAATAAAAAAAAAAATTTCTTGACCTGTTGGTTGATTCAGGTTAAAGCAAATGAATTAATATTACATGATTAATATGAAATTAACTAAAATAATTATATAAATACAAATTAAACGGACACTGACATAAAGGACTCATTTTCCAACTCAATGGTAGAATTGTGGTTTTTTTTTTTTTTTTTTTTCCCTGAAATTGTGGTGTTTAAAACCTGTCTTTTTGAGTTGTTTGGTCAGAGAAAATTTTAAAATTTTATAGTAGTAATATTGGTCAACAAATGAAATATATGTCCCAAGACATTTGCGCTGTCACTCATCTGTTAAAAAATTTATAGTCAACAAACTTTCAAAGTAGTGGCAAATTGTATACCCACAACAAATCAAATGAGTCAATCAGATGGTAGAAAAGTTGAACACTTGATGTATATCGGACTAAGTGATGGTGTTCTAGGAATGTACAACTTATTTCCTCCTCTTATTGCAACTAGGCTCTCCCTGTGGACAAAGTGCTTACAAAACCAGTCTTATGCGAGGCTGTGCATGGCGTCCGCCCTTGTCCTGCTTACATCTTGCCTCTTATTCATGACATTCAGAATCTGTTACAAGCTCTTGCATATGAAATTAAAATTCCACTAAACTACAAGACCACTGAGTTCTCACAGTTAATTAAAATACCACTAAAGTACTTGACATGACACAGCAGAATATATATATATATATATATATCTCCTTTTGATCATGTCAGTTTATTGCACAGATAAAAATGGAACTGTTCTTTCATAAGTAACAATTATAATACACAACTTACAGCAGCAGCAATCTGTCAAGGTCTTAAAAGAAAATAACTTCCTATAATTTACAATTTCTCTACATCATCACTATACAATTTCTCTACATCATCAGTATACAATTTCTCAAACCCAGCACAAGCCTCGGGGGTGTCTTCTTCACAAGGCGGAACAAGCTGCCAAAAGAGAGTGTTGATATTTGTCCCATTCCTTCAAAAGAGAGTGTTGATATTTGTCCCATTCCTTCAATATAGTCAAGTTGTGACAACAGCTAAGTAAGTGATATAAACAAGTTTTGGAAGTCATAGATTGAAGCTGCATTACAGGCATGTGAACCAAATGCAAGGAGAAAATATAACATTTAAGTTAGAATGCACACCTGAAGCATTTTTATCCAATATGATTTCTGCACTCTAAGCTCCTTGCACAACCTTTAGATATCAGGAAAACCTTCCTACATGGACAAAAACAACTGTGTGTACTCAACACCAAACAAGAAAGATTGCTGTGTGTACTCAAAAAACAGCTCACATTTGGTATGTATAAATAAACAATTGTGTTCTAACCTATTTTACATGGACTTCAGTACGTGCCCAATCTTAATTGGATATCAAATGAAGCACAAAGATATCAGCTTAATTGAACTGTGGGTTGAAAAACAATTAAATAAGAAGACAGAGAGCATAACAAAGTCAGTTAAGGCTCATAAGCATACCATGTAGAATAGTTTGATTGAGAAGTTCACCATAGACAGTAAAAGAATTGAGATCATTAAAAACTCTAAGTGGAAACAGCCTGATTATACTTTGAGTGTAAATGACCTCATGCACAACCAAACACATGAAGAAGATTAGAGAAAAATAAATTAACACATGATAGGAATGAAGCAAGATGTAGTAAGGAAGATGTAGGTAACCTTTTTTCAGGCTAAGTTGCATATTTGAGTGTAAATGACCTCATGCACAACCAAACACATGAAAGATTAGAGAGAAATAAAATAACACATGGTAGGAATGAAGCAAGATGTAGTAAGCAAGATATAACTAACCTTTTTTTAGGCTAAGTTGCAAATTTGAGTGTAAATGACCTCATGCACAACCAAACACATGAAGAGGATTAGAGAGAAATAAAATAACACATGGTAGGAATGAAACAAGATGTAGTAAGCAAGACATAGCTAACCTTTTTTCAGGCTAAGTTGCAAATTTGAGTGTAAATACCCTTGAGCTCACTCCCAAAATGCCACATAAGATAACACAACAGCAAGTAATACGCAGTTGAAAATATAACATTTGTAGTCTCAGCAACAAGGTCATCCAAATATAGAAAATTAAGTATATATTACATAATGAAACACAGGAAATTAACTAAATACCTATGACATGTCATATATTACAGGAGATGGAAGTTTATCTAACTTCATCTTTCAATAACAACGATAATAAGCAAGAAGAAGACAATCACAATAAACATGATTGTGATAGTAAGATATCCACAACCTAAGAAGAGCATGTACTTCTATCTACATTGTTCATTTTGAATCATTGTAATGACTCTGTCCAAGTCAAATTGAACTTGTTCTTCAACTTGTGCACCTTAGTGCAACTCATCCACCCATATAAATGCATTCATATGTGACCACAAAAAATATAAATTATACAATTAGGAAACAGTAATAGAAATAACACCTAAAAGATTAAAGCCATACCTCCCGAGCTGGACACCTATAGAATTGTCGACCATAATTTTATGGAGTTCCAGCCCTATAAAGATGCATGGGACCTCTACCACATGCATATTGTGGTCGCTCACCTTCAAGCCTATACATAAGTGCGCCTATAAGTACTAAAGCATTTAATATTTGATGTCCTAATATAATTAGTTATTACAGTTATCCATATTGTATGCGTGTGAGTTTAATTTACGCACTATAATTAATTATTACAGTTATCCATATTGTATGCATGTCAGTTAAAATCCTACACTCTATTACACACTATTATAATTAGTGATTATAGTGCTCCCAAATTAGGTTCGCAATACGATCATGATAAATATCCATCTGTCGCATCTGTGTATTAGTAGCACTGACAACCTTAACAATGTCATCCACATCAGATTCATTTTGTGAAGTAGAAGATTCAGGGGTTTCAGCATCAAAAATTTCATCAGATTCACCTTGGGATCTTATGAAATTATGCAATGTACAACAAACAATGACAATAAGAACTTCAGTGTCAAAGTGATAAGGGGGCATTTGCTTTAATATAGGGAATCTTATCTTTACCAACCCAAAACATCGCTATATGATATTCCTCAATGACGAGTGCCTAAAATTATACAACTCTTCTCTACCGCGTGGTCCTCTAGTATGTCTACAATATTCCTGCATGTGGTAACGTTGACCCCGGAAATGGGCCAAAAACCCTGATTGATTGGCGTACCCAGAGTCCACCAAATAAAACTTACATGTCATGTTTAGTATTAAAATTAACGTATTTTTAATGTTAAATATAAATATGGAAAGGTAATTTTCTTACCTTCGGGTGGTAATGGAAAATTCAAATCCTCATTCTGAATGCACTCATTTAAAATCTTAGAATCATTAGCAGACCCTTCCCACTCTACTAGAATGTATGTGAATTTCATATCAAAAGAACACACGTCTATGACATTTTGGGTCGTATCACCCTTTCTACCACAAAGGGTTTTTGTTAGTCAAGTGGCACTACAGTATGGATATGAGTACCATCTATGGCTCCTACACAATTCTTAAAGTATGAGTAAAACTTTGGACTGTTTTTTTTATCTATTTAGGAATTTCATTCAAATCTGAGGGAATAATAATCTTAGTCCCTAACTCATAAATTAACTTTAAGACAACATGAAAGTGATATGAAATTATGGATGTAGAATGTTAGAATCTTTCAGCAATGACACGATTCCTTTCATTGTGAGATACGGTAAGTAGGAAAATTGCAACTTGTTCTTCTACTATTACAAATGTAAAATCTTTCAATACTAACAATATCAACTCACGACACAAAGCCCTAAAGGTATTGGGGTACATCCGAAAATTTTCATAACACCTATCTTCATGTCCATTTAAAATCTTGAATACGTAATCTTCCCCTTTTAACATGGAATCCCTACAACGTTGCTTATCAAAATGTTTATGATAGTACTCATATACGGCTGTGATCAAAACAAGAATTTTCTCCTCATCATCATCATCATACATGGTTGATATTGTCTTTATATCTATATCTACTATCCTATTTAAGAATAAACAGAAGCAATTATTGTAATAAAAATTAAACAACTTTATGATATAAGGAAAATGGAAAAATATATAACAAATAATACAGTTATTCATCAATAATACAAAAATGATAAAAGACATACCAAATCATACAATTGTCCAACAATAATGTAAAAGTAATAGATATAGAACATAAATAGTCATCTAGCATTAATTTAAAAGTAGTAAATATAGGAATTAAATACAGTCTTCCAACAGTAATGTAAAAGCAGTAGATAAAGAAAATTAAATACAGTCATTCAACAGTAATGTAAAAGGAGTTATAAAACAGTCATCTAAAAGCACATAAAAGTAAGATAACGAACATATCACAGAGGCTGATTCATCACCCACCCAACCTTCTTCTCATTAGGAATATGAAGAAATATGTCCCTCCACACCTTGTCCTCACCAAACATCCTTATGATCTTAGCATAATGGGTATTATCAATCCTTATTAATGTGTTGACGATCCTAAGGCATTCCTCAAGCTAGGGATCAATTTCTTTTTCTTTTTCTTTTTTACTGGGAGATGTCACTTCAGGCATTTCTTTAACACGGGATGCTTGACAACTAAAAGATTCTGCTATGACTTTGGCAATTTTATCGGCTTTTGTGTTCCCAATATCAATCAAACATGCCATCACTTGAGACATTATGGAGGAAAAACTTTCTTTCTTAGGTTTCTTAGCTACAGGTTTGGGAGTAGGACTAAGGTCAATAGGTCATTCTACATTAGATCATTCTACATCAGTCATGTCCGCATTGCCCTCAATGTTACGAATTGCAGCTTCATGTGTTGCCACTTGAGACATTGTTAGCACTTGGTGAGGTTTGGGTGCTTTTGTAGAAGGATGAACATGCTGACCAGTAGTATGTATATCCCCAAAAATTTTTACACCCCTGTTTTTTTTATTTTTCTACCATACTTGAGAACCTACACGTTATTAGCTTACAATTATTGTTCATCAAACCTTTTTAATACTAAATCACTAATTACTAACTGTATGTATGGTAAATAGACACATATTGAAATACTAACCTTGCACAATCAAACCCATCTTTCAGCTTCCAACTCAATCATTCCAGTTTCATTGTTGTACCCTACACCAGTCTCAAGTAATATTTGTTTGCAATCTTTGTATAGTGCTCTGATTGTGTTGAATTTTTGTCTATATTGGTCCTTCATGTACTTCTTTCCAGTTTCCACCAACATTGCGTCCACAATATGTGTCCACCTAATTGGATTAAAAGTCGTGCTTATATGATTTCCTTTTCCAACCTCTTCCTCCATCAAGAGCATAAATTTCTCTTGATGGGCATCACACCAAACAACGGCATCAGCCTGTTCAATAACTACAACGTCCTCACCATTCTCACCATTAAGAGAATAAATGTCTCTTGATGGGTATTGCTCAACATTGTCATTGTTCATGTCCATCTGATTATTATTAAGTAAATTTAACAGTTTAGTAAATTGTTTATAAAATTTTCAATTTAAAGTGAAAATTCAATTAAATTTATAATTTCAAGAAATTAATATAGTAATCACGATCCAAACCTACGTTGGTCTTAAATTTTCTACCTTGAAATTACACACAAGAGAATCTCAAGAAAAATAATATATGTCGAAATATATATATATATATATATATATATATATATATTTATTTATTTATATATAAAACTTAGATACATGCATCAATTCGGGAGTAGCACCATACCACAATTTTTTTTTGAATATTTAGCAATTTAGGATTGCGGCTGAATGCTACAGTGTAGAAATTAGTAAAGCTTAATCAGAAGAGAGTCACTGTGAATCTCTGTGATTTCTTTCCATTAACCTATTGGTGGAAAATTCATAAAAGACAATGATGAAAATTAAATAGGATTAACAAAAGATTTCTTGACAAGAATTTGAAGAAGACCTTTACTGACATTTGATTTTTCATATTTTAATTATTCAATTTTACAAGTCTCCAGGCACGGATTTCATTCATATTCACTGATGAATATATTAATTGATAAAATTATACATATATGGAGTATTGTATACTTTCTCAGGACCTTGAATCCTGACACGCAAACGCACCCTTAATGTTATAATTCTCTATAAATAACAACAAAAAAAAAAGGAAAAACAGAACATAGTTGCGTCAAGGTAGGTAGTGAGAGAAGTAAGGGGTACGTTGTAAATTATGTTTCCAGTTTCCACCAACTAATTTTTTTGATTTCTGATTTTCATATCTCTGAAAATTAATTAAATTAAATTTATAATTTCAAGAAATTTATTTCTGATTCTAAAAAGAAAAAAAAAAAATCCCACATAGATCTAAGAATCGAGAATACATACACTTTTGTGCAAATAAATAGAGTCCTAATTAGGGTTAGGGTTTGGTAGTAGCGTTACCTGCAGCGACTTCAAAGACCTGCTTGCACAAAAGCCTCAAACTACCTCGCACAACGACTGAACTGAAGGGTTGAAGTTGAAACCCCAAATCCGCGTTAGACAGATGCGCGAAAACAGAGAGAAATGAGACAACAGAAAGGTATGAAAGACAAAACTGATTTTACAACTAAAAACTCTCGAGGAACAGCTTACACAATGACTAAACTGAAGGGTTGAAGTTGAAACCCCAAAATCGCGTCAGAGAGAAATCAGACAATAGATAGGTACGAGAGCCACAACTAATGTTGGATCTACAAACTCTTAAAAAACAGCTCGCACAACGTTTGTATATCAAGGGTTGAAGTGAATCGCCCCAAATCGCCTCTCAGATACATGCGGGAGAAGAGAAAAAAACGAGAGACCAAATGCCCTAAAATGAGAAAAAATTATTTATATACCAGATATCAGCGCTACAGTGTTTGATATTACTTGATACCAGCGCTACAGTGTTTAGCCAAGTCTGATATCGCCGCTACAGTGTAAAATCAGCCAATATCACCAAATTGTCGATATGGGTTTTGGCCCAAATCTGGTAATGTTTTGACACTATTCAATACCACATCAGCCCACTCCAAACATGATATTGGCCCAAAATACAAAACCAAAACATCAAAATAATATCATAGGTAGGGGCTTGGGGCTGGCATCTAATCGGCTAGTGTTCGACTCCTACCAAGCCTTCCAATTTCTCCGACTTACCCGGTGTATCCTTGGGGTAAGGCTCGAAGGGACCCTGCCTAGGTGATTTCCTGGTGCTAACTAAAAAAAAAAAAATCATATTTGGGCTTCCAAACATGCCCTTAGCCAATTTAATAGTTGGAGGGGTTTTTTTTTGTACTTGAGAGGGTTAGTTGCACTTTGGTACAGTTGAGGGGGTTTTAATGCACTTTACCTTATATATATATATATATATGTTGAGGGGGTTTTAATGCACTTTACCTTATATATATATATATATGAGTTAATTACAGTGACACCCCTTGAAGTTTGTCTTATTGACACATATATAAGTTAGTTATTTTTTGAACAGTGACACCCTCTGTCAGATACAGAATCCAAACACAACCTTAAATAATATGAAATGTCTTATTTGCCCTTTAATAAAAATATTCATTTTTCATTTAAAATATCAGCCCTTTTTAAATGACGAAATTACCCTTTAGAAATATTAAACACTTGTTATTTTTACAGCTATCCACCACTAATTCACCTTATTATCACTTTTCTCTCTAGAATTCGCAGGCTTTAACCCTTTCATCTTTGCAACACCATTTAGGCTATGTTTGGTACGGTGGGTTTGAAGGGGGAGGATAACATTAGTTATAAGGGAAAGGAAATGGAAGGGAAGGAAATGATAATTTTAATCTCCTATCATGTTTGGTTGATTAATGAATGGAAAAGAAAGGGAAGAATAATAATCATATTTGAGAAAAGAAAGGAAAGGAAATGAAAAAGAATTATTTTAATAAATTTACAATTATGCCCTTTTATAATTTAAAAGATATATTGAAGATGCAAGAAACTCCTTCTATTCTTTCTCTCTCTAGAATTCTTACACCTCCACCCGAATCAAGATCCCCCTCCTCTTCATTCCAACTCCTATTTATAGATACTTACCAGATATTTACAAGATATTTACAAGATATTTACTAATTGCTGGACCTGGGCCTATTCCTCAGTAAGCCCTGGTCACTCTTAATGGGCTTACTCCCGCTCGGCCCATATGGCAGTGTCTTTTTATGGGCTGACCCAGCTGTTCGGACTGAAGGTTGTGTTTTGCGAGTCGGACCTGGCCCATGTCATCCAGGGCCTCCTCAACTGCCCCCATAATTGCCCCTTATTTAATAAGGGGTAATTATTGATGGCGTCTCATCATGACGCTGACGGCTCGAGATAACCACGTGGGGGAGCGAACGGTCAGATCCAGAATCAATGTTCCGGGGTTCGAGGGATTTCTTGCCTTCCCGACGCTTCGGCCCTCGGGCCCCCTTGCCTATATAATGCTCTCGAATTCCACTTCACTTCCCTTTACCGTCTCCATCATCAGCCAAATCTCCCTCTTTCTAGAACTGTGCTAAGCCTTTTCCGGTGAAATCCTTCGAGAGTCATTCTCCCAGCGATCTTGCAGTCCTCCGAGGTTAGTTTCGTTCTTTTTACTTTCGGCAGGCTTCCATTTTCCCTCTTTTAGATTCTTCTTGCACTTCCACCATGGTTGTAGATCTGGGTGTTCTTCGTATGAGACTTAGACTTCCTGACAACATCGTAGTTAGGGTTTGCCCCCAAGACGTTAATATTACGACCGGCGCCGGCCTCCTGCCCGGCGAAGTCTTATTCACAAACCTTCAACTGAATGTTGTTAGGTTCCCTCTGCGCCCTTTCTTTAGTTACGTCTTCAACAGATTGGGGATATCCCCTCTGCAGGTCAACCCCAACTTCTTTAGGATCATATCTGTTATGCTCTTATTGATGCGTGACAGAAATCTGGACCTTGACCTCATAGACCTCCTTCTGTGCTATAAGGTCAGTAAGATCCGTACTAACGAGCCCTTCTACCACCTCTACCCGTTCGAGAAGATGTCCATATGCACTGACACAATAAAATCTGAAAAGGGTTGGAGGGATAGCATAGTGGGTATTAGTGGGGCTTGGTCTTCGCCGGCTGCAGAGGATTACCCAATCCCGAGCGCCTTTGGTGTCTGCTCTGTCTCCTCCTATAAAAAATTCAAATCCCATAAACACGACTGCCCCTGTGAAACATGCGTTCCTCGTTTTTGCACTTACTTATGCCGCTCCTTGGGAATACCTTGTGATGACTTGAGCTACAGTGTTTGCAGGGATAGGATTAACTACTTGAAGAGATATGTTCTGAACGATATTCCTTCCTGCTCAGATCTCCTCACTTCAGACAACCTCTTTGCGCTCTCATCACTCGGCTACAATATGAGCAGACTGCAGATTCCCTCTTTTGGCAGGAGGAAAAATACTCCCCCAGTCATTCCTGCTGCTGGGGCGACCTCCTCTCCAGCGTCGGCTTCTTCTTCAGCCACCATATCTGACACTGTCCCGAGCGCAGTGGCTACTAACCCTGCTGCCAGCGCCCCTGCGGCCAACCAGAACGCGCCCTCCCCAGCTACCATAGCTCCTGCTGCTGCGGGGGGCGGTCGGGACAAAGAGCGAGGCAAAAGGCCTCATCCTGACAGTGAAATCGACCCTGAGGAGGAGCCTCTTATTAGAAGGACCCGAGTCTCTGGGCCGGGTACTCTCTTGCACCGAGCGATCAGAGCTCCTTCTCACTCTGGGCCTCCTGCAGCTGGTGGCTCTGCTTCTGCTTCAGGCCCCCCTTCTATCCCCAGCTTGCCGCCATGGGCCCCTCGGTACACTCGAACGGATGGGACGTTCGTGAAACCGAACGAGACCATGCTGAAGGATGGCCAGACTGCTATGGCCTACTACAGGAGCATGTGGACTCCGAAGGACATTGAGGCGGCAAAGGGCCTTTCCCAGAAGGACGTGTTCAGTCGCTTTCCCCAATCTGCTATGGAGGTGACTTTTATTTTCTAACTCATGAATTCTCTTATATTACTTGGTCTTGCCTTCTCCCGTTCTGACTATTGGTTTAACCGTTCTTATTGTGCACCTATGCAGACATTGTTTGGGATGATGGCCATGCAGAAGCAGGTGGAAATGGGGAACGCCAGGGCCCGAAAGTATTCTGACAGCCTGGAGGTGGCTAATAAAGAGAACGACCTCCTTGCCATGAAGAATACCGAGGTGCTGGTTCGGCTTGACAAAGCCGAGCAAGAGAGAGATGTCCTGAAAAAGGAGAATGATTCCCTTCAGGATGAGAAGGACGCCCTCCAGCTCGAGAAGAGCGTCTGGCAGACTGAGCAGGAATCACTCAGAGAAGAGAAGGCAGAACTCCAACGTCTTCTAGCTGATGAACAGTCTGCTCGGATGGCTTTTGAAAAAAGAGCTCTGGACGAGCGTACCGCTCTGATCGACGCTATCAGCAGAGTGGGTGGTGGGATGCTGGCCCTTCATGCTCGGTTCTCCAGGGTCGGTGCTCTTCGGTATGCTCAAGGATTCCGGGAAGGCTTCGCCGACCGGGTTCCGGATGAGGGACAGACCAGCTCCACTCCGGATGAGGTAGACAAGGATCTGGGGATCGAGCCTCTGGGGGTCTATGTCGACCCAGAACCCACCGAAGCGGAGCGTATATTTGATGAGTGCCAGGACATCGCATCCTCAAGGATCATCACAGCTCCTCCTACCGCTCTGCCACTGACCGCTCCCCAATCGTCAACCGTGGCTCCCTCTGTAGCCACTGCTGACGCTGAACCCCAGCCGAACGACTCAGTTATTCACCTGGATTCCCCACCTCATGAAGGTGAGGCGGCTGATGGGGCCGAGGAGGCGAGTCGGCAGGACCAGGATGCTGTTGGTACTGAGGCGTCTAGCTAGGGCTCCTTCGAATTCTTCCAGTTCATATCTTCTTGTAATGATGGACACCTCTCTTTTGTAAACTAAATGTTCAATATTAATGAAATGGCCGAACTCTTTTTCTCTATGTGTTGTGCTCTGTTCAACTTATCTTCAGTACATATATATCTTTTCTCTCTTTTTCTTTTTACATTAGTTTTGCTGTGTGTTTGTACGGCAAGTGCCTGGCGCTCGGCTAGAATGCCACTTGCCACTTGGCTTTAAATTTTTAGCAAGTGTCTGGCGTTCGGCTTATAGTGTCAGCTGCCACTTATCTTGCTTAAGTGCCTGGCGCTCGGCTAGAATGCCACTTGCCACTTGGCTTTCAATTTTTAGCAAGTGTCTGGCGTTCGGCTTATAGTGCCAGCTGCCACCTATCTTGCTTAAGTGCCTGGCGCTCGGCTAGAATGCCACTTGCCACTTGGCTTTCAATTTTTAGCAAGTGTCTGGCGTTCGGCTTATAGTGCCAGCTGCCACTTATCTTGCTTAAGTGCCTGGCGCTCGGCTAGAATGCCACTTGCCACTTGGCTTTCAATTTTTAGCAAGTGTCTGGCGTTCGGCTTATAGTGCCAGCTGCCACTTATCTTGCTTAAGTGCCTGGCGCTCGGCTAGAATGCCACTTGCCACTTGGCTTTAAATTTTTAGCAAGTGTCTAGCGTTCGGCTTATAGTGCCAGCTGCCACTTATCTTGCTTAAGTGCCTGGCGCTCGGCTAGAATGCCACTTGCCACTTGGCTTTAAATTTTTAGCAAGTGTCTGGCGTTCGGCTTATAGTGCCAGCTGCCACTTATCTTGCTTAAGTGCCTGGCGCTCGGCTAGAATGCCACTTGCCACTTGGCTTTAAATTTTTATAGTAGACCATTGGAAAAGAAAATTCTTCTCTTCTTTTTTTGTAAATTCCGGTAACTTGCTCATTCATATGTATTTGATTAACAACAAATAACATCCAATTAAAACCAGAACTTAGCTTCTATTGATAGTACCTCTTCAGAGACGTGGCGTTCCAGGGCTTGCTGACCAACTTTCCCGCCATGGTTTCCAACGTATATGCCCCTTTGCCAATGACTTCTGCAATTCTGTATGGGCCTTCCCAGGGTGGCATCATTTTTTTGACCATCCCCACCTTTCTTTTCAGAACCAGATCGCCCGGGGCAAAATCCCTGTGTTTTACTCTCTTATTGTGACTATTCGCCAGCACTTGCTGATACGATGCTAGCCTTATAGCCGCTGCGTCCCTCCTTTCGTCTATCATGTCGAGGTTCAATCTTAACATCTTGTCGTTCTGATCTCGACTCCATGCTAAGCTTCTGATAGTGGGGACTAAATGCTCAACCGGTATAACTGCTTCGGTACCATACGCCATCGCGAACGGGCTCTCCCCAGTCGGCCGCCTTGGGGTGGTTCTGTAAGCCCATAGAACGTTCGGGAGTTCATCCAACCACTTCCCCTTATGATCTTCCAGCTTCTTCTTAATGCAGGCGAAAATGGTTCTGTTTGTGATTTCTGCTTGTCCGTTAGCCTGAGGATGACTTACTGCAGCCAACTTCTGGTTGATTCCATACTCCTCCAGCAGCTTTCTTACTTGCCTGCTGTCGAGGTTTGTGCCATTGTCCATGACTATTGTTCTGGGAACACCGAAGCGGCAGATAATGTTGTTCCAGATAAATCGTCTCACCTGAGTCTGAGTCACGCTAGGATACGGTTCTGCCTCCACCCATTTAGTGAAATAATCCGTGGCCAGTAACACATACTTGTTCTGAGCTCTTGCAGTTGGCAGAGGACCGACCACATCCATCCCCCATTGCGCGAAAGGCCACGGCGAGGCCATTACGTGCAATTCTTCAGGTGGTTGGTGGATCATTGGTCCATATCGTTGGCACTTATCGCACCTTCGAGAGAACTCCTCCGCATCTCTTGACATGTTTGGCCAAAAATACCCTTGTGTCATTGCTTTATGCGCTAACGATCTTCCCCCAGAATGATTGCCACACACACCCTCATGAATAGCTCGCAATACCTGCTGCGATTCCGCGGGGGTGACACATTTCAAGTACGGGCCAGAATAGGACCTTCTGTACAGCTGGTTCCGCACGATGGCGTACTTGGCAGCATTCTTTTTGAGTTTCCTAGCTTCATCCCTTTGCATAGGCAAAATGCCATCTCGAATATAGGTAATGATTGGGTCAATCCAACTCGGTTCATACGGTATGACGTTGACTTGCCAAGGGTCCGAGACCATCGGTTCTTCGAAAATGGACGGCTGGGTCACTATTCCCACTGGAATCACCCTCGCCAATGTTTCACCGCAACTTGAAGCACTGCATGCTAAACGGTCTGCATCTGCATTCTGTTCCCTCGGCAACTGTATGAATTCAATCTTTGCAAAGTCCTTGGCTCTACGCAGAACGGCAGAACGGTATGCCCCCATCATGTCATCCTTGGTTGCGTACTCACCATTTACCTGCCGAACAATCAGCTGCGAGTCACTATACACTGTCAAACTTTTGATCTGTAGCTCTTTGGCCAACTTTAATCCATTTAGCAACGCCTCGTATTCCGCTTCATTATTGGTGGCTCGGAACTCAAGTCTGAGTGCTTGGCTCAAGGAAGTACCCTCTGGGGTTTGCAGTTTGATCCCAATCCCAGCCCCCGTCTGGTTAGAGGAGCCATCCACAAAAAGTTTCCAAGAGCCGCTTCTAAGGTCCTCTTCCGCATCTTCGGCATCACATTCTAGTAGGAAATCGGCCACCGCTTGCCCTTTAATAGCTGTTCTCGGCTCGTACGTTATGTCAAATGAACTCAACTCTATGGCCCACTTTGTCATTCTGCCCGAGAGCTCTGGCTTGTGCATGAGCGTTCTGATTGGGAAAGTTGTTAGAACAGCTATGGGGTGGGATTCAAAATAATGCCTTAACTTTCTTTTTGCATTTACAAGTGCAAGTACCACCCGTTCGGCCTTTGAGTATCTTTTTTCTGCCTCCATCAGTGTTTTGCTTACATAAAATACTGGGTATTGCACCCCTTCCTTGCAACGAATCAGAACGGCACTCGTCGCGACACCAGATACTCCAAGATATAGAAATAACTTTTCTTCCGGTTCTGGGGCTGACAGGACTGGCGGATTCTGCATATATTGCTTCAAATGAGTCAATGCCTGTCGTTGCTCATCCCCCCAGACCTGCCTTCCATGGCTCCGAATCGTGTCAAAGAATGGTTTGCAGTGGTCTGACAACTTTGAAATAAATCGACTTAATGCAGCTATTCGTCCTGTTAGGGCTTGCACCTCTCTGATCGTCTTTGGCTCGGCATTCTTAATCAAAGCCTCTGCTTGAGCGGGGCTAACTTCGATGCCCCTGCGGTTGACCACGTGTCCCAGAAACTGCCCGGAACTCACACCGAACGAGCACTTGGTCGGATTGAGCCTCATCCCATATCGCTTTAGTACATCAAATACCTCTTGCAGATGCTTCAGATGATCATCCTTTTTCCTACTTTTCACCACCATGTCATCAATATAGGCTTCGACAATCTTACCCATTTGATTCTTAAAAACTTTGCTGACAAGTCGTTGATAAGTTGCTCCCGCATTCTTTAATCCAAAAGGCATAACCTTGTAGCAGTACGTTCCTCGCTCGGTGACAAAAGAAGTTTTTTCTTCATCTGCGGGGTCCATAGGAATCTGATTATAACCTGAATATGCGTCCAGAAAGGTTAAACGCTCATACCCCGTGGTGGCATCCACCATTTGATCAATCTTAGGCAACGGGAAACTGTCCTTCGGGCAGGCTTTGTTTAAATTGGTGAAATCAATGCATACGCGCCATTTCCCATTTTTCTTCTGCACCACAACGACGTTGGACAACCACTCAGGGTAGTGCACCTCTCTGATAAATCCCGCATCAAGCAGCCTATCAACTTCTTCCGTTATGATCTGATTACGTTCTGGAGCAAATCTTCGCTGCTTCTGTTTCACTGGTTTGAAATTAGGATTGACATTCAGGGAATGACAGGAGACGGAAGGACTAATTCCAGGCATGTCGAGATGACTCCATGCAAATACGTCGACATTGTGGGATAAGAAATCCACTAGCTCTTGCTGCTCTTCTCTGGTCAGTCTTATACCCACTCTGGTAGTTCGTTCTGGCCTGGACTGATCGATCTGCACATCTAGAAGGGGCTCCTCGGTCAAGTCGGCTGACTCCTCCACCCTATTCTGCTCGAGTGGAGGTTCCTGTAATTGCTATCTGGGGCTTGTCGACCGGACGGGCGCCTTTCCCTTCCCTGCATGCTTTAGTGTGACGGAATAACACTCTTTGGCTGCGACCTGATCCCCCCGAATGTCTATCACTTTATCTCCATCGGGCCCGAGGCACCTCATGACCTGATGCAGAGTTGAGGGTACACCTCGGACTCTGTGAATCCATCCTCTTCCCATCAGGAGATTATACGAGGGGTGAATTTCCATAACCACAAAAGTTTCCATAAGAGCTCGCTCTGCAGCTTGAACTTCTACTTCCACCATCCCGACGGGTTCCACCCTCTTCCCATCGAACCCTAATAAGGGATTTCCGGTGGGCTTGAGCCTCTCTGGTTTAATGTCGAGCCTGTCAAACGTGTCCCTCGGCATAACATTCGCACTGCTCCCAGGATCGATCAGAACTCTGCGCACCAAGCACTCTGCCACTGTCAAACTGACTACCAACGGGTCGTCATGAGGCAGTTGGACACGCTGCAGGTCTGTCCAGTCGAATTTTATCTGCATTGACGGGCTCTGTTGGTGTAGAGTGGTCACATTGCCGACCCTTTTCTTCATCTGCGCCTGCCGCAGGCGCACCCGTAGCAGCTCATCTGGCTCTTCACTAGGCTCGGGTCGACCATGGATAGCATTGATTATACGAACTGGTTGCGAATTGTGGGAGCTTTGTTTATGACTCCTTTTTATTTGTTCCACTGGTCGATTCTGCTCCATCGCCGAGCCTTGAACATAACTCGCAAACTCCCCTCTAGCTATCAACATCTCCACTTGCCTCCTCAGGTTCCTGCATTCGTTAGTCTGATGTCCGAAATCAGAATGAAAAGCACAATGTTTAGTTTGATCCCTCTGTTCGAGGGGTTGTCTAATTGGCAGTGGTGGATGAAACTTGTCCTTGTTCTCCTGATATAACCTCGCCAGAGTGACCTTCAGCGGAGTAATCAACTCTTCCTCCCTGGACCTTTTTTCGGCCTTCCAAG